AGGATTTTGGGCACGCATGCACACATGCCTAGTATGTTTTTCAAGTCACTGGGTCCGGGACTTGAACCACAACTCAGCCATTTGGTATCCAGCACCTTAACCATCTGTTGTCCCCGAATATGATTTTTTAATACTTATATGAGATATTATCATATAGATACATCATATAATTACCTTGAAAGATTGACTATATATTTTTCCCAGATCAAATCTGTTTAAAGCCACTCACATTAGCCTAACTTTTGAGGAGAAATAGTCTCAGAAACGTCTTCTAGTTCTGAGAGCTTTGGTGCATTTCTCATGTGGTGCTATTTGGTCATGATGACCTGTGCTTTCTGAATTCCCTAAAGTATCCTCCATCATTTGGCTACTGTCTGCCTCTGAAAACTCTGAGAACGATGTCTCCCCACAACTTGACTTCCACGTGCATGAGGTGGCTCTCGGATCGGGCCAGCAGCCTCCAGCGCTTCTTCAGTCAGTCAAGGAGCCAAAGGGCAGGCACGTTCTTTCCCAGCTTTGGTGGTAGAACCTTCATAAAGTTTCCCATCCACCAGAGAAAAAGGTTCTTGGGGATTTTAGAACTGCCAACATTCAATCAGTTTTCACAAGACTAAAAATTAGGAAAGAATGAGGAAAGATATTCAGAAAGATGACCTTAGGTCATTGCCAGGCCCTTAAAGTGCCTTCTGAATCATCAAAGACAGATTGCATTATTGCCGGGATGGCTATGTCAGGTTTGGTTTATTATGTCTGGATGCCTTGAAAATTAATCATTGAAGGATAAGTATTGTATTATTTATTTATCATCTTTACTTCACTGACTTCAAAAATTAATTAGAGACAGCATGCCGTGTGTGTGTGTGTGTGTGTGTGTGTGTATTTGTATTTTAGTTAAAGTAAAATGTACATTGTTTTAGCATCAAAACCAAACAAAAAGCCCCTGCACTATTCCACCAGACCTCATTTTGCTCTTTAAAGCACTTTCAGTTGTTTTTTTGTTAAAACGTGATTTAGTTCAGTTTTCTGCATGCTGGCACTGCTTCTTGAAATTTCCTGATGGTCAGCATTATCCACATTTACCGCTCACGTATCGCTGGCGTATTACCATACCACGTGGTGTTGATTACTGATGGAGCGTGCCCCGGGTAGATACTACGGGATCAGAATCTAGGAAAAGATACCTCACCTTTCGGTTACTTAAGTAGACTTGAAGATTTAGTTCTTATTGCCACACCCCTCACTTCCTCTCTTCTATCCTTCCCATGTAATTATTTCACAATTTGAAATGAAATCAACGACTGGTATTTATATTTTTTCCTAGGAGAACTTTGTTCGGTGAAGGGACAAGTACAGTGCTAAGAATTTCCTTGGGCCAGCTGTTGGCCTGGTCGTTACATGTCAGATCCTACATGGCTGACTATGTTGTTTGAGTCCCAGATGCTGGTTTGAGAAATGTATCGGGCACGTTTACGTGTGCACCCAAAATGCCAAAAGGAGGGAGAAATGAAGGAGAAAAGATTGTGTCATGATGACTCCCCATAGGGGATGCTTTTTTGTTTTCTCTTTCCTGCTCACTCTGTCTTTCTCTGGTGAGTGCATGTGCATGCTGGCAAATTAAAAAAGTAAGAGGAATACTTCATTATTACTTTAAAAGTTATTTTGGTTTTCTCTGCAATAATTTCTTCATTTTTCCTTTTTAACCTGCTTAGTATTATGCACATATTCTTAATTTTTTTTAACATTTAAAGTTTCTTAGTTTTTTGCAAATACTTATATAAATATTTTTTCTTTCTTTCTTTCTTTCTTTCTTTCTTTCTTTCTTTCTTTCTTTCTTTCTTTCTTTCTTTCTTTCTTTCTTTCTTTCTTTCTTTCTTTCTTATTTTAAAAATTTGACCAGAGAGAGACAGAGTGAGAGAGAGAGAGAGTGAGAAATCAAGCTGCCAGTTCTAGGACTTGAACCACAGTCAGCCATGTGAGAGTCCAGCACCCTTAACCACCACGTAATCTGCTAGCCTCGCAAATATTTATATAAAGCAGAAAATCTATTGGTTGCAATTTTCTACCTGTAGACCTTCACACGCTGACACAGAGCAGTCATTCTGGAACATGCTTCACCACAGGTTAAAACATTCATTGTACCTTCTGGAATGATGGTTATATTTCTGAGTCCCATTGAGATTTGGCTTAATCATATAATTTGCTTTGGTCAGTGAAATATGAATAGAAGTGGCATGTGTATGTATTTCTTCTGAGAAGAAATTTTAGAGGCAGTTTATGAATGGTTAGCCATGATCTCTTTTATCCTCTACAATGATGGCTGTCAATAGTTCAGAGAGAGGGGGGCTAGCAGGTCGCGTGGTGGACTCCGACATGGCTAACCATGGTTCAAGTCTCAGACCTGGTAGCTTCCTTTCTCACTTTTCCTCTCTCTTTGTCTCTCTCTGATCAAATTAGAAACTAATAATAAATAAAATTAAAATACAATAGTTCTTTATTGTATTATCTTTATATATTTCAGAGAGAGGAAGGATGCTGCATCAAGTCAGACCTGCAGTGAAGAGGACACAGAGCAGAGCCACAGGCAATCTGCAGTGGACATGTTGCGAGAAGTAAGCAAAGCTTTATAGTTGTTACCACAGCATAGCCCAGCTGATCTGGCCTAGGACGTGGAACTTACCATAGTGGTCTTTCTAAGTGGACTGTTGCTATGATCTGAATGTTTCTGCTCCCTTGAAATTCACATGGTGAAACCTAAACCCCAATGCAATAGCATTAAGTGTGGGGCTTTGGGAGGTGATTAGGTTATAAGGGTAGATCCCTCAGGGATGGGATAAATGCTTTCATAAAAGAAGCTGGAGGAAGCTCGCCAGCCTCTTTTGCCACATGGGAATGCACAGAAAGCATCATCTGTGAGAGGCCCTCTCCAGACACTGAATCTGCCAGTACCTTGATCTCGGACTTCTCCATCTCCAGAACTGTGATGAATAAATTTCTGGGGTTATTTGTTTGCTTGTTTTAATAAATTACGCACTCTAAGGTATTTTGTTATAGCAGCCCTAACATACTAGGACAACTGTTTGCTTGCTTGCTTGATTTAGTGGTCCATTGACTTGTTTAATTCTTTTTGTTTTTTTAATTTCCAGAGGGCACGTATGCTCACCCTAGAGAGACAGAGAGAGAGGGGGAGAAGGAAAGTGATAAAACATCCCCCGTGGGAATGGTCATGCTACAACCTCTTCTTCTCCATCTTTCCCTCTTTTGGAGGGAAAACATGTGCCTGGCATGCTTTTCAAGTTGCCTGATCTGGGACTCGATCAGTGCAATGGGCTATGTGGGATCCAGCAGCTTTAACCATCACACCACAACTGGCCCAATTCTTTTTTTTTTTGGAGAGGTTTTCGCTATAGGGCGCGTGTGCTCGCCAGACAGACACAGAGAGACAGAGACAGAAAGCGAGAAATCACCCCTCAGGGGGGATGGTCATGCTGCAATCCCTTCTCCTCCATTCTCCTCTCGGGATCTTGGGTACGCACGCACATGCGCCTGGCATGAGTTTTAAGCCACCGGGTCCGGGATGCGAACCATGGTTGACTATGTGGGAGTCCAGCGACATAGCCATTATGCTAACTGCTGGTTCCCAATTCTTTTTTTTTTAAAGAATTATTTTATTTAACTTTATTTCTTTTTAATTTGACCGGTGGGGGGGGCGGAGAGAGAGAGAGAGAGAGAGAGAGAGAGAGAGAGAGAGAGAGAGAGAGAGAGAGAGAGAGAGAGAGAGAGAGAGAGAGAGAGAGAGAGAGAGAAAGCAAGAAAGCAAGCTGCCAGGTCTGGGACTTGAACCGCAATCAGCCATGTGAGAGCCCAGCACCTTAACCACCATGCCATCTGCTGGCCCCCAGTCATTTGTTTTGATAAACTATATTGTGCTACATTCTTAAGAAATATATGAGAGGTAAAATAAATACATAAATAAATAAATAAATAAATGATAAAATTCTTACATAACTACAACTTTTTTTTTTTTTTTTTACTATCTTCACAATATTTAGATAATTTAGCTGGGTATAGAGATCTAATGCTGAAAATTAAGAATTTTGAAAGTACTACTTTTTTATTTTTTAATATTCTGTATTGTATTAAGAAGACCGATGCCAATCTGAACCCTAATACTTTGGAGGAAATTTTGATATCCTTTTTTTTAAGAAACTTTTAAGACCTTTCCTTATCTTGGAGTGATGAAATTTTACTCTGACTTAACTTACTATGGGTCTTGTCTCATTATTTCTGTACATTTGAAAAAATGATTTATTCTACAAGAGACAGAGAAACAAGCACCCCCAACAATAGGGTCCTCATGTCATGACCACTCTCGTCCCAGCTACCCCACATCAGCTAGCACACCCCGCACGCTAAGAGAGATCCCAGGACATGAATTGACCTCCTCCTCTAAACCTTCAAGGTCTAAGGCACCCCATAGAACTTTAAGGGCTCTGATTTTGAAATCTGGGACCCTTGGGGGGGGGGTCCAGCTGTATTATCACTTTAACCTGGGCCCTTTTCTGTATACTTCTTATTCTGTAGCTCCTATTCTGCCCTTTGAGAAAATTTTTCTAAAAAGTAATTGACAACACCCTCCCATTTGTTTTCTACTTCTGTGATTGGTATTAGTCAGATGGTGGATATCCTGAACTGATCCTGATATTTTGTCTCTTCTGGCCTATTTTCCAACTCTTTCCTATTTAAAAAAAACACTTTTGAAAGTTCTTCAACTTTATTTTCTGGTTTCTCTTTTGAACTTTCTATCTTGGTTGTGTTGTTTAATTCAAAGAAATAATTTACAAAAGAATACAGAGGAGATGATTTTGAGGATCAAAATCTATTATGCTTAGCTTCAAAATGTATGCACCTTGAAATGACTGACTTTAAGGTCTGCCACTCCCGAACACCACCCCTACCCTGACAGATGAAGAGAATTGTCTCCAGAAAGTGAGATGACTTACCTAAAGTAACATAGCATGTCTTCTTACTTCCAAGTCAGCCTTCTTCTATCACCAGGTTATGCCTTTGCATCTTGCCATAGCTGAAATTGTGTCTTAATTCTAAGAAAGAGCACTTTAAAAACGATCAGCTGATAGAGGTAAACAGTGAAAATTGGCTGAAGCATCATTAAAAAGCAGGCACTTAACGCAATGGTTAATTTAAGTGAGCATCCCTTAGATCAAAGACTTGAAAGTCTAGTGCCTCTTCTGTCTGTGACTGACACTGATTTCACAAGTCATTTTATCTTCTAGACTTTAGATTTATTTTTTTTCCAAAGAATTATTTTATTTAACATTTATCTATTTATTTAAATTTGACCAGAGAGGGACAGAGCGAGCGAGTGAGAGAAAGAGAGAAAGAGAGGGAAAATGAGAAAGCAAGCTGCCAGGTCCAGGACTCAAACCACAGTTGTCCACGTGGCAGTCCAGCGCCCTTAATCACCATGCCACCTGGTGGGCCCTAGGCTTCTGATTTCTTATCTATAAACTGAGGAGGTTGCACTAGATCATTGTTTTTCAAACTCAGAGCCCTTAAAATTCTATGGGGTGCCTTGGACCTTGAAGGTTTAGAGGAGGAGGTCAAAACAGGGGTAAAAAGGTAGGTCTCTGGGCTCTCAGCTACTCCTACCTGAACAGTTCTGCTTAGATCTGTTTTTATGTAATTTTGTTTGTTTGTTTTTGTTGTTGACAGCCAAAGCTCTGTGACTAAATATTTAAGAACCATGTCAGCAAACTTCTATAGGTTTTCTTTCAGTATTGTGCTTTTCTGGTAACCTGATAAGAGATGCTCTTTCAGATACTCAAATTAAAATTTGTATGCCATGAAGCTCTCTGGAGTTCCTATCAATTAGGAGGTACATGGAGATAATTATCATTCTGGAATTCCAAGCGCCTGAATACAAGTCAATCCTTACAACCTCCTCTTAAGCCAATGGGCTCTCTGCAGACATGGTCACTCAATACACATCATAGAATGCCAGAAAGAAAACCCCCAGGAAACTTGATCTTTCCATTTTCCTGATTAGATGGTACAGGCAGGTTAAAGCCAGAATCTCAGCTCTCACCGTGTTGGCAGAATCCCACTTCCTTTTGCAAGTCACTGTCTAGATGTCAAGCACAGATATAGGTGCCATGCCTTGCATTCCCCTGGTTCTGGAAAGGCATGAAACAGGTGGGCTGAACATCCTTTGCCCTTGGAAAGGAAACTGGTTTTTGGCTCCATTCAACCATGTTTACTCATCACGAAGGGAAGCAATAGATGTTGGCCAAACACTTAAAATGAAGGGATTGAAAAAGCGTAGATCAGTGTCAGAGACTGGGATTAAGGGAGCCAAGGTCAGTGGTAGATCCTTAAGGAACCCAAAGAGACAGTTTGCGCAGGGCATACCTGCTCTGCCTGGTGACCATGGGGCAAGGCAGAGGACGGATAGCTTTAGAATTCCTTGAAACCAAAACCTTTCTGGAAAATGCTTAGAGATGTCATGTGATTAAAACTTCTCATCACACATATGGAAAACTAAATCCAACAGAAGGGACACTCTGCCTATGCTCACCCACAGGTCAATATTTTATTCATCCCAGTCTATATTTTTGTCGTCCTCAGACATCCCTAAATGGGGACTGGGTACTTAAAGTAGGGAACTTGGTGGAATGAGGGTTCTGGAGGACTAGTCTCTAGAAGGGAAGGGAAGGGTGTTTTTCTACCCCAGGCAGCTGTGCAATAGGTAGAAGGTGGTGCTCCATCAGCCAGACCCAGACCAAATTCATCACACTATGAAATTCTAGATCCCGTACCACACTAGGGACTTCAGAGAGTATGCAACATATCTAGGAATTCCCCGCTGTCTCCTCTGATTCTCAGCCCACTCCAACCTAGGCCTGTTAATACGTTTATCTTGAGTTAAAAACACCATCACCGTAGGCTAGCTGGTGGCATAGAGGTTAAGGCAGCTGAATCCCACATGACCAACTTTGCAGTTTGAGTCCTGGACCCAGTGGCCTAAAAATCATGTTGGGCACATACATGTGCATGCACGCCAAAATCCCAAGGTGAGAATGGAGGAGAAGGGATTGGAGTGAGATCATCCACCCTGTGGGGGGTGATTTCTCCCTTTCTGTCTCTCTCCAGCAAACACACACACCCTATAGTAAACAAATTAAAAAACAAAAAAAGCACCATTAACGTAGTGCAAACACATAGTCCTTGGGCCATGTCGGCCCAGAAAGACTGATACTGTGTTATCATTGAGCGTGCTCCCTGCCCTGGTGGCATCGGCAGTTTGTGTCACTATCTCGCTTCTGAGAGGAGTGGGGAGCTCACACATACCATCTACTTTTGTAAATAATCATTCAGTTAATGAGCATCCACTGAGAGGACAGGGATCACTTCCAGCCTTCCAGGTTTCAGGTTTCAGGACAACGCAGATTGGGCAGCAGATCAAATAAAGCCATCACCGGCCAGTAGGACTGGCTCAAGAGGGGAAACTGGCCCTGTCCTCTACAGTGGTTGCTGGAAAACAATTTGCCCTTGAATCCTCCATACCATCCTAAATTGACAATTTCATCTCCTCCAGCCCCGCCCCCTGCCCCAAAGATCTGCTGAAACCGCGAGTTCCATCTGAGAATACAGCAGGATAATAGGTGAGTTCCATCCATCCATCAGCGATAATGGTCGCGGACACTCCCGTCGCCTTTTGTCTGCTGGTTTCCCTGAGGATGCAGGCTAGGGACCTGGGGTATTTACACTGCCTTTGTGTGTATGTGCTTTTAAAATCAGTCCTCTTGTTTACTTTCCTGCCTTCACCCAGGCTGTTTACTACCTTTGGAGCGGCCAGGCCACTAAGTCAACACGCATTAAGACCTAACATCAAAATGTCATAATGCGAATGAGCAGAATTCGGAAAGGCCAGGGACATTGGCTGCTCTGTTGGGTCCTGTTTAGTCTGAGGGTAATGAAGAGCTCACAGATGACCTGATTTCATTAAACTAGGTCAGACTCAGCTGAAAAGCGGCTATGACTCTCACCCAGTTATCCAGCGAGCTCGCCCACGGCCCCCCCTTCCTCTGCCCCCGCCCCCACCTCAGGGCTTGAATGCTTTCTGGGAATTAACGCTGAGTTTTGTCAATACAGTAGCTAAATCTCCATGGAATAATTGGACCTTTCCCTTCGGCTTCTGTTTGTGCAGTGGTGAGGCCAGGCCTGGGAGAGAAGGGGGTGGACTTTAACGCAGGACGTAGGATTCAGTTGTAGCAGTTCGCTCTCGAGCCAAACATTCTGAGTTACAGCATCTTATCTGAGGGTTGTATTGACGGAAGCAGCTGAACGGACTCAAAGAGGAGCTATCATGCAAACAAGGCTTTCAATGTGTCCAGCCTCACCAGCAACACACAGGCCCTCTGCATCTTCAGCAAGCTCGCAGTGGGGAGTGGGAAGGGGACCAGAAGGAGGGTAGAGGCGGGAAGGGGTGGTGTCTGGAGGCTGTAGGAGGAGGAGGGACGGTTCTCCTTCTGTCCCTCCCATTTAGGGGAAGATGGGTCTGTGGCAGCATTCTAGACAGGGAGAATTCAGCTCATCCACAAAGACGAAATTAGAAAGGTCCACAGATTAGATGGGCCATAGATGAGAATGTTACTATGCTTTATTTAGCATCTACCATGTCTCAGGACTCATGCTAGGCACGATTTTCTGGTCTCCACAGCTTCTCCATTGCAGCGATTAGATAAGAAAGCTGAGGTTTAGTAGTATTACTCAAGTTTGACTGGGGCCAGCTTGTGGTGAGGTGTTGAAGGTGGCTGACTCCCACATGGCGCGTTTCAAATCCTGGACCCAGCGGGTTGCAACATGATGTGCGTATGTGCATGCATGCCCAACATTCTGAGAGAAGAATGGAGAAGGGATTGCAGTGTGCCATCCCTGCTAGGGTTGACGTCTTCAACTAGAGGCTTTTCAAACTTTTTTGGTTCATGGTACTCTTAGACCAAAAGAAATACCTAACAGCTTTGTTTATTTAGCTATGTCCAACAGCTTAATAAGTATTATATCTCCTATATCTTAGCTGTTTTTTGAAATAATAATACCCATGTATTAAAAGAGAAAAAAGTCTATTTATTTAATCTATTTAATTACCAGAGGGCATGTGTACGCTTCAGAGAAAGTTTGTGTGTGTGTGTGTGTGTGTGTGTGTGTGTGTGAGAGAGAGAGAGAGAGAGACTAACTTCCAATGGGGCATGGTCATACCACAATCCTTTTTCCTCCATTCCTCCATCCCATGAGAATTTTGAACATGCATACACATGTGCTTGAATGTTTTCAAGTCACTGGGGCCAGGGTTCAAGTGTTGGTTAGCCATGTGACATCCAGCTTTCTATGCATAGCACTTAACAGCTGTCTTACAGGGACAACCCACAAAGGACCACTTTCATTTCATTTGTAAAAATGGCAGCCAACAGCATATGTGAGGCTGTAGGGCACGACACACCTTAAATCGTGGGACCTGACTGGACACCATCACCTTCATTTTCTGTTCGACATTGATTTTCACACTGTTATTATTGCAACCCCCTGAAGCTCAGCTTTGCAAGGGTAGAATGCCACTGAAAGGAATGTAGCACGATCTAATGCTGAAACTGTGAACAGCATCGAGCTCATAATTGTATGTGTGTTGTCCAATCAATGAAGAGTATTTGTCCAGAATTTAGAATACTTCTCTCTGCTCCTGTGTACTTGCTGTGGGCCTCTGGATACCGCAGCATACAGATTAGGAAACAAGGGCTTAAACACATTGGGCTAGGGAAAAGTCATGCATTTTTCCATAGAAAAACATGTCACGACTTTTTGGACAACCCGATAGTAGATCCAGAATTAGGGGCTGCTTTGCTAGAGGTATAGTTTCCCATAGATAGTCAACTTTTTTTTTTTTTTTTTAGTTTTTGCTTCAGGGCACACGTGCTTGTTAGACAGAGACAGAGATAAAGAGAGAGAGAAGAAAAGTGAGAAATCATCCTCCCAGCGCGGTGGTCGGGGGTGGTGGCCAGAGCACAATCCCTTCTCTTCCAGTCTCCTCTCAGAGATTTTGTGCATATACACATATATGCCTGGCATGATTTTCAAGCCACCATGTCTGGGACTTGAACTGTGTGTGCAGTTGGACGTGTGGGAATCCATGCCTGAACCTCCATGCCACCTGTTGGCCCGATAGCCAACATTCTAACAAGGCCATTTGTATTGCATGTTTCTAGAATATACTGAACTTGGATAGTTCAGAATCCAGAGTGGTTAAGCTGATTTTTCTAAAATGATGACTTTTTAGGAACCACAGTGACTTCCTTTCTTTTCTTTAGAGTCATAATAGAGCACAGATGTGTGAGGGAGAGAGGAAGAAAGAAAAAAAAGGAGAGAGAAAGAGAGAAGCACCCTCCGCAGAACTCAGTCATGCTGCAATTTCCTTTCTCCAGCTCTCCAGGCCACCAGGATTTTGAGCACATGCCCGGAGTGTTTTCAAGTCAACCAGATCAAGGACTTGAGCTGTGGCTCAAGTCAAGATGTGTCAAGATGTGGCTTCCAGTTCTGTAGCCCAGTATGCTATCAGCTGCACCGTTGAAGGTGGGACACCTCAGCTTTCTTTCACATGTAATGGTAAGTACAAAGATCTCCCCTCTTTTGGTAATGGTGAGACATGAGTCATACACTTTCTCTTTTCTTTTTTGAGAGACATTTTTTGCTATAGGATGTCTGTGCTTGCCAGAGAGACAGAGAAAGAGAGAGACAGAAAGTGAGAAAACACTTTCCAGGGCAGAGGGCCATGCCGCAATCCCTTCTCCATTCTCCTCTGGGGATTTTGGCTACACACACACACACACACACACACACACACACATATGCCACGTGTGAGTTTTGAGTCACTGGGTCTGGGACTTGAACTGCAGTTGACCACGTGGGAGTACAGTGCCTTAACCACGATGCTACCTGCTAGCCCCAATTTATTGTCTTAAGACATTGACAGCATTGACAGTTGTCCTGGACAAGGTCATATTTAAGACTGGGGTAATGATATAATGTGAGGAGAAACCTGATCCTTACAGGTGTTGAGAGACTTGCCCAAGCCCGGACAGTAGAGAAAAGTGGAGCCTTTTTCATTCTAAGCTAACATCAATCTTCTTGTACTACCCTACAGTGCTGCCTGATGTAAGGCGAAATTTTCTGTGAATTACAAATAATTAAGATGAATCTTTCTGCCCACCTCTATATCAAATAGTTTCTGAAACCTCTAAAATTAAATGAGCCTAGAACGCATCCATATTATCCAAGCAGCTTTTTTTTTTTTTAGCCTAAAGCTTTATATATGATCTCAGTAAGATCATTTGATAGCTCCTAGTTCCTTTAAATAGAGCACCGTGGTAGTAAAAAGGCCTTCTTTTTCTCTAAGGTTACTTAGCAAATTTCAATGAAAGAGGAAATATGCATGCAATTGAAGAGTTCATCACCTTTTTGAACTAGAAAGTGTGGCCTAATTCCCCCCCCCCCCTCCTTCTCAGACAAGACAATAGGAGTCACGTGATGTGACTGAGAAATTGGGCCAGTTAAAAATAGAAGGTGCGCTCTACCAAGTTCATTAGACAGTAGAAGTTTCACTGTTGATTGCCGTTGATTTATCTCTGCCTGCCACATGGGAAGGGAGGAGGGCAGCAGGTCGGTGCAGATGCTGAGGGCTGGGACCCCCACCTCCCCACCTCCTCCCTGGTTCTGCCTCCTCCCCTGGTGAAGCCGCCTCAGTGACAGGAGCTCACCTGGCTCCCAGTTATCGTCAGCGCCCAGGTAATTCTTTCCTCTGGGAGCAGTTTTGGTTGGCTTCTCCTCCTTCCCTATAGGGGTGCTCAAAGTCCACTGTTGTAAATGGAAAAGGCAGCCTCATATCTTCGACAGATGGTTTGTACCTTTGCACTTGCTGAGCTCTGAAGACAGCCTTAACAAGCCTTATCCACACAGCGGGAAAGTGTTAGAAGAAAGAGGCCATGTCAAGCCCTACTAGTTTTGTAAACAGAACTGAGTCCTCCCTTCCTCTTCCATCACAAACACACTTGCACACACTATGTCTGGCCATGCCACAGTCTCTGGATCCAGAAGGGTTGAGGATATACACTTGCTGGTCTTGTGGGACTCATAGACAGAGAGGCTGAGGAAAAACATGCCAGGCCCAGAACTCTCAGGCCTGATTCCTGTTGATGGCAGTCAATAGTCTTCTTGTTATGACTTGCAAATTATTTTCCTTAACCAAGAATTCTCACCCTTATTTTGCAGATAAGAAAGTTGAGGCCATGGACAGCGAAGTGGTAGGACTGGACAAGAACCCTTTCCTTGCAGTGTGGGCCACCTGCCATTCGTCCTGAGGGTGTAGGAAGAGAGTGTGCCTTCTAAGCCTGTGTGCTCCCTGGTGGAGAGTCCTGGAGTTGGGACAGGGTGGCTGTGTCCAGGCCAGGCTGTTCTTCCCAACCTTGGAATAGTAGAATGGTCATGGTCATGACCCCTCACTTCCCTGAATTGGGTCTTGATTCTGCCATCTACCGCCAGTTTCAGCCAGCCCTGGGTCATGGGCACACGCATGCCCAGTGTACTAGGAAGTCTCCAGATGTGAGCAGGGACCTTTCCCATGTGGGTTTGCCCCATAGTGCATTACCACTCATCAGGATGCACAGGTTGCCTTGGTGGTCACATAGGAGATATCTGCCTCTTGTTTTACCTTCAGCTTGCCCCAAGCTGAGGGGCTTCATATCATGTGCCCTCAGCCCTGACACCACACTGTGTACATGGGGAGCTCAGACAGTGTGTACTGAGTGACCCAGGAGCTGACTGGAGCTGGGAGGGAGGCCAGGCCATAGCAGACTCACAGAAAAATGGATGTCTCAGTATTTTCTGGCACTGTGGAAGGCTGGGGCATTGGGAGCCTCGTGGTAGGCAGGTGGTCCATTTGTCCTGAGAGCAGCTGGCCCACCTGCCTTCCAGGTAGGGTTTCAAGCATCACCTATCCCACAGGGTAACTTGTCAATGGGACACGCCCACTTGGTTTCCACCTGGATTTTTTTTGGATGCCTCCTTTTTTTTTGGAGAGGTTTTCGCTATAGGGCACGTGCGCTCGCCAGACAGACAGAGAGAGACAGAGAGACAGAAAGTGAGAAATTACCCCCCAGGGGGGATAGCCATGCTGCAATCCCTTCTCCTCCATTCTCCTCTCGGGATCTTGGGCACGCACGCACATGCGCCCAGTGTGAGTTTTAAGCCACTGGAACGCGAACCCCGGTAGACTATGTGGGAGTCCGGCGACACAGCCATTACGCTAACTGCTGGTCCCTGGATGCCTGCTTTGAGGGCAGCTGGTGGAAGAGGCATGGAGAGCAGCAGCACTGTAGTGGGACTGGGAGGAGAGTGGTAGGACTTTGACTTGGGAGGTTTCAAGGTGAGTGTCACTTGCTCCTTCCATGGCCTGGCCATTAAGCTAGACCAGTGAGCTATGAGGATATCTGGGAAGAGGCATATTCTGTCCAATATTTTCTACCTGCTGAGGTAGCAAACAGGAACCTGAAGGCGTCACCAAGAACTTCTGTTTTCCCTGGTTTTCTTGCTACTGCCCCTTCTAGATTCTTTAACTCTGCCCTTTTCTAAAATAGGAGAGTTCTGCTGCCAAGTGAATGACTCCCCTAAAACTCTGTGATCTTCACCTTCTTTCTCCTTCATTTTTTCCGTCTCTCCTCTCTTATTTTCTCCCCATTCCCTCCTCCTCTTCCCTAGACCTCAGGTAAAACTCAGGTTCTGTGGCAGAATAAGAGAGAGCTCTAGGGACCAGCAGTTGGTGTAATGGCTATGTCACTGGACTCATATGTAGTCGACCATGGTTCGAGACCCAGGTCCAGTGGCTTAAACTCACACTGGGTGCGTGTGTGTGCGTGCCCAAGATCCTGAGAGGGGAATAGAGGAGAAGGGATTGCAGCATGGTCATCCCCCCTGGGGGGGTGATTTCTAGCTTTCTGTCTCTCTGTCTTTCTGTTGAGTACACATGCCCTATATCAAAAACCTTTCAAAAAAAAAAAAAAAAAGAGAGGGAGAGAGCTTTGTACTTTAGAGGAGGAAACTGGGACCCAGATGAGAAAAGAAGCTTCTTGGACATTCTAGGTGTATGTTGATAGCCCCAAAATGAATTTGTGGAAATCACACTTTGACCTAAAGAGGTGTAAGTATTTTCTGAGTCACCACCTCCTTGTGTATGAGGTGGTATCTTTGGCAAGTACTCTATGGAAGGTGTGGCCCATTGACTTCACCTCTACCAGATGTGTCTTTCGTAAGTGGGGACATTCACTTGTCCCCAGCGGTAACTGAACTTGCGTATGGAAGAGGACTAATATGGTACCTGGTACGTGGTGCATCACTAATGGCATTCACTCATTTCCCAAGGGCAGCAGAGTGTGGTAGTTAGGATGTGGGTTCTAGTATCAGATTAGCTGAGTTCTTATCCTAGTTCTGCAATTCACTGGCTGTGTGACCTCAAGTGAGTAATTTTACCTCTCTGGGCTCCAAATATATTGTCTGCAAAATGAACATCATAATCATATCACTTCATAGAGTCAATGTGAGAATCAAATAAGGATTAAATAAGTCAACCACCAAGAACAGTATTTGACATGTAAGTACTCAATAAATATTAGCTATTGTTGGGACCAGCAGGTGGCGTGGTGGTTAAGTCGCTGGACACTCCCACATGGCCGACTTCAGTTCAAGTCTCGGATCTGGTGGCTTCCTTTCTCACTTTCCCACTCTCTCTCTGCGTGTCTTTCTCTGGTCAAATTAAAAAAAAAAAAATGAAAGAAATAAATATAATAAAAATAAATGATTCTTTAAAAAAATATTAGCTATTGTAATAAACATTGCTATTGGCAATCTATGGTTGTTATTCTGTCTTCCAGAATTTCATGGACCCTGGGAAATGAAAAAGGCAGAGTATTTCCACAAAATTAGAATTAATAGACAATTCTCCTAGCTCACTGTCACTGAAGGCATCCAGAGTAATACTGAACAACATTTTTTCCCCCCCTGAGATGCAGACAAGAGGATTCTTGCATGGAAAGAAAAATGAGAGTGCATATCCTTTCCAAAAACTCTACCATGTTTCAAAACAACCCTGTGAATTTTGGGTTAATAAGTAAATGTGTAAGAAGGTATTGTACTCCCTTTTCAAGAAGTTGATCTACTTATTTATTCAATACTTTGAGAATATCTTTTTTAAAAAAAGGAATTACTTGTTGGACCAGTAGATGGTGTAATGGTTACATCACTGGACTCCCACATAGTTGACTCTGGTTTGAGTTCCAGACCTGGCAGCTTAAAACTCACACCAGACACGTGTGTGTGCATGCCTAAAATCCCAAGAGGAGAATGGGGAAGGGATTGTGGCGTGGCCATGCCCCCTGGGGGGAGATGATTTCTTGCTTTTTGTCTCTCTGTCTCTCTGGTGAGTGCACGCTCCCTATAGCAAAAATTTCTCTAAAAAAAAGAATTCTTTATTTCATTTTATTTATTATTATTTCTTAATTTGACTGGGGAGAGAGAGAAGGAAAGTAAGAAAGCAAGATACCAGGTCCAGGACTTGAGCCATAGTTAACCACGTGGGAGTCCAGCACCTTAACCAACACACTACCCACCAGCCTCTAAGAATACCTTTTCTGTATCAGACTTTCTACAGGTACTAGGGACCAGGATGGATGAGGTCCAGCCTACCTCTCAAGAGATGTAGACACATTGGTCCATGGCTTTGAGATAAGGTGTTTGGTACAGTGCCTCTACTTATGCAGGGCAGTGTAGGGAGGGCCAAGGGGATGCTGCAGCACTCTGGGGGGAGTTCTTACCAAGAAGTCTTCCGAGAAGTAAAACCACTGTGCTGGCTCTCGAAAGACGAGTGGGAGTGTCTCAGGCAGGCTAAAGGAGGAGGACACTCCTGGAGGAGGGAACACCATTTTCTTTCTTCCTCTCTGATGGCACCATGAGACTGAGACCATAATGGCAGTAGAATAGTAAGTGGAAATTGTTATTGACAGATTGACCAGTTTGTCTTTGAATTTACAAGAAGCCTCTGATCTCTGTTTTAGTACTCACTGTTGTAACTGAACTATTCTACAATCGTACCAAACCAAGGGTTTATGCCCAATATCGGACAGACTTCCCTGGCAGAGGAGGTATCAGCCAAGGTGATCCTTTGGCTTCTGAAATCAACATCAAATGAGACAAACTTAATTTCCATCTTCACTTCATTTTTTATAAATATCAAAAAAAAAAAAAAAGCCCCACACTCCATCCCTACCCTCAACTCAGATCCATTCAAATCAGAAGAGGAGATCAAAGCCCCACCTTGAAAACCTCCTGGAATCCAATAGCCTCTGCCCTCCCTGCATCATCACATCCATTCCCACATCACAGTCAAGTCGGGTGTGAGTTTCAGCGAACCTGGGATCAGGTATTGAAGGCAGAATGTCTGCCAATTATTTCTATAAAGGCAGGCACAGGACCAGAGAATAGAAGCAGCCATCATGTCAGGCCTGTGTGATTACAGGAGAAAGGAGGAATTCAGGTGGGAGAATTGTGGGGAGAGGAGGAGAAAGTAGAGCCTTAGGGATTATGTGCCCCAGGGACTTTGTAGAAAGCCCACTGATCCCACTCCCTCACCTGGTGACTACAGGAGTTATGCCAGAATGACTCAGGACCACAGATGGCTTCAGCCTGGCCCAGTAGAAGGAGGGGAATTGGGAGTCACCTATACCTGGGCTAGAATTATGGCAGCTGGGCTAGTGACTTGGCACAACTGATTCATTTAAGCTTTAGTTTCCTTACTGGTAACCTGAGGCTAATAAAATTCACCTCTGAAGGTAACAGGGATTGAACAATATAATGAAAGCAAAGATCCAGACAGCACTAGCCACCTGCACATAGCAGGTGATCAGTAGATGTTGGTATGTCAAATAACAGGCATTGATTGAACGCCTACTAAGAGTTCCATGTTGACTGACTGTCCCTGATCATCAATCTCCTTAAGCCGTTCATTCACTCAGCAGACGTTTACTGAGATAAACTGTATGCCAAGTACTGAGATATGTTCTGGGGAGGTAGACTAGAATAATACAGGTAAATTTGTCTTTGTGGAATTCACACACCACGTACATGAAGATATTGTTTATAGTCTTGTCTATAAGGCTAAATATTGGAAACAATCTGAAAGCCCAACAGTCAGGGGGTAGTGGTTAAGTAGATGGTAGTTTATACACTATGGCACCATGAGATTGAGACCATTATGCTAACTGCTGGTCCCTTTTTTTTTTTTTTTTTTGCCGAGGTTTTTGCTATAGGGGGCGTGTGCTCACCAGAAAGACAGAGAGTGGCAGAGAGACAGAATATGAGAAATCACCTCCCCGGGGGGATGGGCACACTGCAATCCCTTCTCCTTTGTTCTCCTTTCAGGATCCTGGGCACGGATGCACTCGCGCCCAGCGTGAG